TGAATTGTTGAAGTTGTTCTATTTATTCATATGATTTAAACAAATAAAATATTTATTGACATTACAAGACACCTTTTATTATTTCATCCTTGATTTACGATGTTTTTAAAATTCATTGAAGAGTCCTTAACACTTATACATTGTTGAAACTGCTAATATTCTTTCCCTCACCAATTGTGAAAACCAAGTAACAGGAAGAGGTAAAAATTAAACATAGTAAAACCCTACTATATAGCATTTAATTATTTACGCATATCACATGACTATGAAGATAATCAACATAGACAGGAACATCGATAACACGTCGTCCGATTTTGGACTTTACATTGGAAATCAGCGGGAGATATGTATGAGTAGAGGGCAGGGGGAGGGGGTTCGTTGGCTGCACATGAATAATTCATCAGCCGCAGAGTGATTTCATCTCATTGAATCGAGCTAGTGGCAGCGCCGTGATTACGAAAACGATACCTCCGACTGGCCACAGCAGTATGTAAGCCGCGGTTGTACAATACCACTTATTACTAAGTCTATAGTATGCTAAATAACCCTTATGCTACTTTAATCTGTGCTGCGATCTATCCTAAACTATATTAAATTTACTTTGAATTTCCACAAGCGAAATACTTCGTTATCTTTATTTTTCTTTGCTAATAACCTGGTCGATAGGTTCGATTCTTACACGATTTACTAAAATATAAGCGGTTATCAAACAGAGAAAAAGTAATCTTATCTTACTTCTTACTAATATTAGAAATGCAAAAGTTTAGATGAATGAATGGATGGATGGATGTTTGTTACTGTTTGTATCCCAAACGGCTGAACGGATCTCGATGAAATTTAGCATAGATGTAGAGGGTAGCCTGGAAGAACACATAGGCCCACTGTTGTTCTTTATTAATTCCACGCGGACGAAGTCGCGGGCGAAAGCTAGTTAGCCATTAATAAACCAAGGAAACGAATACGAAAACAAAGAGTACGAAAGTTTGGATGGATGGTTGGATGTCTGTTACTAAGTATCTCCAGAAAAACTCAACGAGTCTTGCTAAATATTATAACAGTATAGATGTAGAACAGTCTAGATCAAAATAAGTTTTTTTTAATCATATGTTAGTTAGTTTTAATTTAACAAACATGTACCATTTTTTTCGTTCAACAAAAACGCGTTGAACAAAAATAAAAGTCGCGTATTTGCGAATCGTTTCAACTAGGCGGCTCGTTTATTTTCTCCGCAAGTAAAAATTGAAAGAGATTGCTTTTTATCAGTGCAGTGGCGGCAAATTGAATGTAAAGTTGATTTCCCGGCAGGCCCGCCGCATAATTCCCCGCAAATTAAGCCGATACCAATTGACTTGCTCGTAAATATTTTGCAAAATTATTTACATTTAAATAAAGCCGTTATCTGATCGGTACAAGTAGTCATAGACAAATTTATATTGAATTCCCGTATTGCAAAGAGTATATTACAATCGTGTTGGCTTAACCCGGATTTCGTTATTCTTCTGTTCCCTTTTCTTACTTCTTTTTAATATACCGTACAAACGATTCGTAACATTCATGTGTGATCCTACATTTTAGACTGTCTTTCATGGATATTGTGTTCCATTTGTTACAAACTGTACTTGCTAGAAACTTTTACTGTTTACTATAGTTTTAGTCAACTTTTCAACAAATAAGAACCCCGACATGTATATAACTATGATGCACTGTTAAAATCTTCCAATTAGAAATAAAAATAAAAAAGATGTCTTGTAATGTCTATAAATATTTTATTTGTTTAAAACATATCAATAAATAGAACAACTTCAACAATTCATTGGTAACGAATAACAATCTAGTGGTGGTAGGAGATGGCAGGGGAGGAGAAGGAGACTTGAGTGAGGGGAGCGGCGTAG